TACATCTGTTAGCTCCAAGGTGGGAACCCCAAAGCTGAACCTCCTTTTACCCCTGTACTGAAGGTAACAAGCAAGAGAACAGGGGGTGGGCAAAGTGCCAAAAACCATCCCATGGTTTGTTCCCAAGAAGGGATGAGGAACCCCAAGTTGAGCCTCATGGCAAGCCTCCCCACCACTCCCCATTTTGTTTGACGAGGAGAGGTGAGGGGCAGTGGGGTGGTACCACTGCAATTGAATCAAACAATTAAGTCCCATCATTGCTTTATGGAGGTGCATCTAAGAGACTGTGCCATCACTGTACGCAATGGGTTCTTTTCACCTTTAATCGAAGAGCAGTTCTAGCAGTCACCCACTTGACATCCCATTCAGTGGCTATACTAGGACCACCCCCCACCCCACCCCACCCCAGCCCAATGGTTGAACAATAGCTACTGAGGTCCCTCCCTGCTGCACTTGGCTTCACCCCTGGAATTTGAGAAAAGGCTCTGGGCCTCACACGGAGGATGAAGGCAGCTTGCCCAGCCCCTGATCCTGCCCATCCACATGTAGCTTAGAGCTGCTCAACTGATTGTTGGGACCGGCCCCCCACCAGCTCAGCCTCCTCCTCATGTGAAAGTTGCTTTTATACCCTTCATTCAAAAACACTACTCATTAAAGAGGATAAAAACACTTTATTGTAAGAAACTGCAAGGTGATGAAAAAGGGAGGACGAGTTAGGAAACAATCAGGGAGAAAGACTTGGGGCTTTTTATTCAGTACACATGCAGGGCCAGTGCGCAGACAATTCAAATCCAAGTCCAACCCCTCACTCAGTCACCAAGAGCACCCCATGTCCTTCTCCCAACCAAACAGTCTGTCATGGTGGCAATTTTCTGAAGGCACAGAAGTGAAGACTTTGAGTCACAGGTTCTTCCTCAACTGCTTATGGACCCAGCCCCTCCGCTGTCATTGTGCGCCAGCAGGCACAAAGAGCTCAGGAGAGGGGCACAGGAAGTTGGCAGGTGGTCATAGCAATCTCCAACCCATTTGAGTGGTGCTAGCTGGTAGCAAATATTCAGCTGCTGGTGCCAGCTCTTGGCCACATGTCAGGTGAGAGCTGGGTCTACTGTGGCCTTGACCATGAAAAAGTCTGTCAGGTAATACTAGCACAAAACCAAGTGCCTTGTGAGCCATGACCTCACATTCCAGGACATGGCTCTCCTCTCTGGAGAGCCATCGTAGCTGGCCCAACCCTTCCACACAAAAAAAACCCAAAACCTCATCTGGAACCACCATGTTCTCCAGTAAAAGGGCAGCAAACAGGCAGGCTTTCTTGGGTGGCAACGAGCAACTCTGGCCTCCACTGCGGGATCAGTTGGATTAGGTTCACATCAGCCAGGGTGAAGGGATCCTGCAGTAACAGGGAAATGAGTGTTAGGGATCCCACTACCATAA